GAGATGAACATGATGCAACTTGGCATGCCCATTTTGTTATCTTTCTCTGTCCCTTCCCACCTCCCAGATGGGTGATCTACAATGACCAGAAAGTGTGTGCCTCCGAAAAGCCACCCAAGGACCTGGGCTACATCTACTTTTACCAGAGAGTGGTCAGCTAAGAGTCTGCCCTTAACCCTTACCACTTTGGGCAGGGGACAGACCTTCTGGCATGAGGGACAGGGTTTGAGGGATGGACTTCAGCCCCCTGCTCTGTACCCTTTTTCTTTTTGTCCCCAGCAGCTGGAAAGAGCTGGAGGCTATTGGAGAATGGCCAAGCAAAGAGGAGGGGTACTCAGTAGACTTTGGGGATAGAGCAGGGATGGGACAGGAAGAGGCCAACTGCCTGTCCACACTGGGACCTTGTTGCTTCCTTCCCCTACCCCTGAAATCCACAGTGCTCTCTGCTTCTCTGTGATGGCCCAGCCCCTGGAGTGGGGAGGGGTCTTATCTTTGTGTGCGTGGGTGTGGCTTTATGCATCCTTCCTGGGGAGGGAGCGACTGTGTCTCTCCTTCCCTTAAAGTGTTTGCTCCCTTGTGGTTGGGCAAAGAAGGATATGAGGGAAATAGGGACACCTTCCACCCCTTGCCCTTCTGCCTCAGCCTCCCATTCTGTCTCCTCGGTCCTCTGGAAAAATGCCAAAATACATGATGTGAATAAAAGTACAATGACTGGCTGCTTTTGTTTGTTTCTTTATGGGGAACTTACTTTTCTTGGGGAGCATGTTCAGAGGCCCAGCTGGGGTCCTTTGCCTGCCTCCACCCCTGGGCAATTCTGTCTCTAGTTCTAAAGTGCTCAGAAAACGGACTGTATGTGTGTGTGTGTGGGGGGGGGTGCGGGGATAATAAGGGAGAAAGTCCAGAAGAGTGACTGCATCCCCCTACTGCTGACTATGGAATTTGATCTGGCCCCACTGTAACTGGAGAAAGGGGATCTAGAGCAGGCGGTGGCAGTCCATACTGGTATTAGCTGACAGGCCTTACAAGACAGCAGCCCATCTGCCCCTCCCTTCACACACACACACACACACACACACACACACACACACACACACACTAGTATCCCACTCTACTCCATTTGGCCAAGACAAGAGGCCCAGCGACGTTTGTGAAACACTTGGACCCCTTCCCTTGTGATTGCTGGGAAGGCTCCTCAACCATGGCTCTGCCTTGTGCTGTGGGGGAAGGGGACTTTGAGTTGGAAAGGCGCTCTCCGCCTCAATGAGACTGGTTCAGAGCCATGTTGCTCTCAGCTCCACCGGGAATACCCTTCGGTCTTCTAAAATCACAAAGTTGGTTTCCCTGAGCACGAGGCTCAACATCTCAACTGTCGAACAATAGGCGGGACGTTTGAGCTCCCGGAACCCCTTCGAACGTTGCTACAAGAAAGGAGAAACGTCAGAATATCGAAACACCGGGAGGTGGATAGGCGCGGGGGGGGGGGGGGGGGAGGGGCGGGGGGAAGGCCTAGCAGCAAGGGGCCGGGCTAACCATGGCGGAGGGCGGGGAGAAGGAGGAGTTCTGCTTCACAGCGCTCTATATAAGTGGCCAGTGGCCAGGGCTGTGCGCTCGTAGTGACCTTCAGCCAGCCAGTCCCTGCGCAATGGCGCCCTCCAGGAAGTTCTTCGTTGGGGGCAACTGGAAGATGAATGGGAGGAAGAAGTGCCTGGGAGAACTCATTTGCACCCTGAACGCGGCTAAGGTGCCGGCAGACACCGGTGAGCTCCATTTGGGAGCGGCGGCTCGGCGGCGGGGAGGTGGAAGGAGGAGAACGGGGGAGAAGATCGGGCGTGGCAGCACCTACTCCCTTTCCTTGTGGACCTGGATGCTGGCCTGGGGACAAGGGCCATTTGGTGTCCGGGAAGCAAAAGAGGCGCTGAGGTTGGAAAGGCTTTGAAATAGTGCCCTGGCCCTGTGGAGCCGGAAAGGAATTCTTGGGGTGGGGGCTGGGTGGAAGGTAGCCCCTGGGAGTAGACCGGGGCTGCACCAGCTAGGGGCCGCGGTTAAGAAGCGGAACCAGTGTCCGGGTGGATAACCGAGGAGAGTGGCACGTGTCCTCCAGAGTGTGGAGGAGGAAGCTGAGCTTGCGCGGGCTCCCAGCTACCTGCCCCTTGTTCTCTAGATCCGTGCGTCTCTGCACGTAGCCTGAAACTCCTCCCCCGCGTCGCAGCTAGCTTCGGCCTCTGAGCTGGGGGCTCCTACTTCTCTACCCCTCCACAGCCTGGGCCACTGCTGCCTTCCTCTAAGGGACTGAGCAGGTGCCAAACATGCTGAACCGTTTGGGAATGAAAAGCTATCCTACCGCTCTCCGCAATCTGGAAATAGGAAAACACGAGGTCTCTGGGAGCTGCTCAACTCCCTGCTGCTCACAGACTCTATCCTCCATCCTTCCACCTCCTACCCACCTAAAAGAACCTTGAGAATGACCAAAGGGTGTTGGTTGTCTGCTCGTTTATTTCCCAAAGAGCCCAATACAAACCCCAGTAACTGGCCTGTCTTCTTAAGCTAAAAATCCTTGCCGCGTTGGAGAAGTGGAGATGGGCTATTTTAGAAAGGATTGGCCCCCGGAGAATGCTGACTCTAGGAGGTGCCCATTCCCAGAATAGCCTGAGGAAATTAGAGCCACGGCTGTTAAAAAGAGCAGAGGGCAGGGTAAGGGCCGTGGCCTATCAGGAGCCTTAGGAAAGCTTTGCGATTGGTACAGGCCCTGCCTGGGCTGTAGTAGACAAAGGTCATCTTTCTGGAATGAAAAAGGGAGGAAAATAGAACCAAGAAAGCGAAGGCATGACAGTTAGCCTGGAGAATGAAGGCTTTCTTTGATCTCATTTTCAGAGGTGGTTTGTGCACCCCCCACCGCCTACATCGACTTCGCCAGGCAAAAGCTAGATCCCAAGATTGCTGTGGCTGCGCAGAACTGCTACAAAGTGACCAATGGGGCCTTCACTGGGGAGATCAGGTGAGCCGGAGGCAGAGAGGGGCGTAGAGGGCAGTTTTCTTGTAGGCTCCTTGCTGAACCTTGGTGTTTATCTGTTTGTTTTAGCCCTGGCATGATCAAAGACTTAGGAGCCGCATGGGTAGTGCTGGGGCATTCGGAGAGAAGGCACGTCTTCGGGGAGTCCGATGAGGTCGGTAAGCAGGAGAGGAGGTAGGGGATGCTTTCATCCAAGAGGGCTGGCTCACTGTATTTTTTTCTTCAACAGCTGATTGGGCAGAAAGTAGCCCATGCCCTAGCCGAGGGGCTTGGAGTGATCGCCTGCATTGGGGAGAAGTTAGATGAAAGGGAAGCTGGCATCACCGAGAAGGTCGTTTTTGAGCAAACCAAGGTCATCGCAGGTATGTCTGGAAAAGGACCTTTGAGCCTAGCAAGAGCCGCCGAGATGGGTGGGGAGGTCAAAAACCCTGCAGCCTGCCTGATTGTGTTGAGCCAGGAAAAGAGAGAGAGCGATTTGCGTGGTCCTTGCCACTTCTGTTCCTGCAGAAAGCAGAAACTCTACCTTCAAAAGTCACTAGGGGCTGGCGCTTACAGCCAAGGCTGAAGGCCTGTTTGATTCCCCCAAACCCACATGGTAGGAGAGAACCAACTCCTGCAAGTTGTCCTCTGGCCTCCATATGTGTGCCACATGTATACACACACACACACACTCACATATAAATTGTTTTTAAAAGAAATAGGTGTTTTAAAAAATTTAAAAAAAAATAGAAAAGGCCCACCAGGGGCAGCAGGCCATTACTGTTAGACCCTAGAGAGCTTTACTGGGCAGCTTCCTCCTCTTCACTGTTCTCACCCTGATCTCTGTCCTGCAGATAATGTGAAGGACTGGAGCAAAGTGGTCCTGGCCTATGAACCTGTATGGGCCATTGGTACTGGCAAGACTGCAACACCTCAACAGGTAACTGCCCAGAAACTCTCCAAGAAGAGTGACTTCCCAAGGATTCTAGACCTGACTGGGATGGAGCCTTGCTATTCTCTGATCCCAGGGCTTTTCCAGAAACTAAACTCTGTCCAAGCACCAATGGGGTTTTTTGTTTTGTTTTGTTTTGTTTTTTTCTCTTTGAATGAACAGGAAGGGTCTTACTTAGTCTACCTTCTCTTTCTAGGCCCAGGAAGTGCATGAGAAGCTTCGGGGTTGGCTGAAATCCAATGTCTCTGATGCGGTGGCTCAGAGCACCCGAATCATTTATGGAGGTGAGTGGGTCTGGCTCCGGCCAGGATAGAAATGGGCTAAGATCGACTAAGGCCCCACAGAGGTGGGGTTTAAGTGGATCACCCATCCCTGACCAAGCTGCCTTCCTGTTTGTTACAGGTTCTGTGACTGGAGCAACCTGCAAAGAGCTGGCAAGCCAGCCTGACGTGGACGGCTTCCTCGTGGGTGGTGCTTCCCTCAAGCCTGAATTTGTGGACATTATCAATGCCAAACAATAAGCACCGTCCATGCTGCTGCCCTCTGCCAGGCCAGGACTAGGTTGCCCAGAAGCTTAGAACAGCTCCCACCAGTCACATGCTTCTGATGTCATCTGCCTCATCTTGTGTCCTAATCCACGCTGTATCTTCCCGAACCTTTTACACCTCCCTGTAATGGTTGGGACCAGACCAATCCCTGTATCACCTAATACAATGGTTAGAATGAAATACGTCACCGGTTTCACCAAGGCTCGGGGAGGAGGGCAAAACAAGTGGAACTGATTCTGTCCCTTCAGGCAAGGCAGGAAAGCGAAATCACCTTTCCTTCCCTTCTCGATGTACACTAAAGTCGAGATCCTCTCGCCCTGAGAGGCCGGGGCTGTTCCCCTCTCCCACCATGCCGAAGCCCTAGTATTGTGTTTGTGAACCATCTTACATGTAAGGGAAATAAACACCTGGCCCGAGCTTTGTAGTTTGTCATCTTTGTCGCATGTTTCCATACGATTTCTTAGACAGTGGCAGGACTCTGGGGTTCAGGGTGGAACAAAACAAAGCAGGCTCTGACAACACATCTCACTTTTACTTGAAAAACATCTTTTGTAGCAGGCTACCACAGCCTTTAGGTCCACTTCCTTGTCTTGGCCCTCTGTAATGGTTAGTGAAGGCGCCTAGCCTCTCCTCGCCTCAGCTTCACTGGCTTTTACGTTGTCGTTCTAGGTCGATGGTGCGCCTCCACCTGTCCCCACCGTGCTGATGGCCAGGTGCCGGTATGAAAGGGTCATTTGTAGAGCAGGTAGCGCTTCATGGCAGGGGGCAAAGGCAGGGTGGAGATTTGGCCAAGTCGGGTATCCCCCAGCGCATGGCGCACACACAGGCGGCTCAGGTGCATAAGGGATTGTGGTTCCTCGGCTGAGAGAAGGAAACAAGGTCAGTAGAGATGCAGTTGGCAGTCAGACATCCTCAAACTCTAAGGTCCTGCTCAGGCTCCCTTAATCCTTCAGTTCTGCCTCCACCTGACGAGATCTAAGGCTCTGAATTTCCACACCACACAGCCAGTAAGGCCTGGGAGTGAAGCTAGTTATTCAAGTGACAAGCCAAAGTGATTTAAAGCCCCCTTCCTGTGGCCCAAGCATGAGTTTCCATCCCAAACCATTGCCAAGAGTGGCAATTCTCTCCCCACACCTAGGCCAGGTCTCACCTCTTCTCTCGCCCATGTAGCGGATGCGGACCTGGCACTGGCCCCAAACAGCGCTTACAGAGGGATAGAGGGTCCTGCCCTTCAGTCCACGGAAGGCTGGTCCCAGGTAGGTGCCCCCAATAGAGTAGCCCAGAGTCCCCTCTTCCATGTCGAGAACCACCAACAGTCTCTCTGGCACCACTAGCTGCTCACCCTGAGGTACGGCTGGGTACTGGGGAGCCTCCAGGCCCTTACTCTGATGATACAATTTGCCCCGCCCAATATCCCAGCCCCACGACTCGCTGTTGCTGCCCAAAAGCGCCGCATAGTGGTCAACCTGTAGCGGGGCGAGAGCAGTGGCCACGCCCACCACGGCGTGTGTGCCCCTCTGCTCCAGGGGCCAACTGATCTCCCAGGCATGCAGGCCCCTCGAGTAACCCTTCTTTCCCCGGACCCCATCGGTACTTTGGGCTACAGGGCGCCGCTCGAAGCACAACCCCCCTTCCTTGACATCGATGTTCTCGGAACAATCCTTGGGATTCCAGCCGTGGCACCGTTGGGCCCCTAGGTCAGGAGGGGGAGCAGACAGGAGCTCCTCCAAGCCCTCGGGAGGGGAGAAGTCAGAGTACAGAGCCTGCGAGGTGGGGGTGCTGCTGCTGCCCCTTGCAAGGGCCGTCTGGCCCATGAGGTGAGCAGCTGAAGGGATCCTCGAAACAGACCTGCCGGGGCTTCTCTCTTCTGAAAGTTGAACTCCGGATCGTCCCCTGGAGCGGTGTGGAAAGAGAACCGACTGTGAGACGCAGCATCTTTCCCTCCGCTCCCGTCATTCGTTCACCCGTGTGTGCCAACCAGCCTGCATGCTTTTGGTTCCCCAACCCTCCTGGATCCATCACTCTGCTTTCACCCCATCTGTCCCGCGCCCCCCCGCCGCAAGATTCTCACAAGTGTGCCCCTCAGACCTCACCAAGGGCCGTCCCCCTTGCCGTCTCTAAGCGTCACCTCGCTGTGCTCTCCAGCCCGCGGGGACCTCAGCCGAAGCACAGACCGACAGGGTAGGGTCGGGTAGACGCGCCCCTGACCCGCCACCGCTTCCGGCTCCAGCGTGCACGCCGGACGCCCGCCCGCGCTCCGCCCCGGGACTCGGTGGGTGGTTAACCCTCTCGTCCCCGCCCAGGCCACGCTCGCCAGCCACGCCCCCCGTGGGAACCTCACCCGCTGTAAGAGACCGAGGCAAAGAATCTGTGGTGATGCCAGCCGAGGACAGGCGCACATGATTTGTGGAGCCCACTCTTGTCCCCTCCCAGGACTCGACCTGCCCCGACGTGAGGCTCTACACCGCACTTAATCTTTCCGACGCCACCTGAACAGCTGCGTGCCCCGCCCCTAGCCCCGCCCCCGCGTCCCTGGCTAGAATTAACCCTTTGATGACATCATCCCCTTGGATTCTCCACGGAGAGTATTCTCCACTGGAGACCTTTGTGCTACCTAGACGAGTCATTCCGAGGCCCTAAGAGTAAGAGGCATTAACACCCTTTCTGAACTACTGCTCCCACTCCGTAGAACGTAAGGGCTGTTTCTTCCCTGAGTCTCCCTATGATGCTGAAGTGGTAGCCATTCATCCTCCTGCCTCAGCCTTTTGAGACTACTAGTGGGTACCTCCTCTCCTGGATGTGCTTCAAGGATCACTTTTGAGTGAAGCTAGGTCATTAGCTGCATTATCATGGAGATTGCCATTGACTTTTACCTCCTCAAATGCCTATTGATAACAGTTCAAATACCCCATAATGCTACAGGTAACTTTAACTCTTTTTTTCGTGATAAGACCTCACTATGTAACTTTGGCTGGCCTAGAACTCTCTAGACGTTGATCGGCCTGCCTCTGCCTCCTAAATGTTGACCTAATTCTAACTTTTTTTTCGTTATTGTTTGGTTGGGTTTGAAACGGTGTCTTGTAGCCCATCCTAGGACAAAACTGGCTATGCAGCCAAAAGCTGGCCTTCGATTTCTGCTCCTCTTAGCCCCACTTTCAAGTACTTGGATTATAGGGGTATGAGTCACGTATGGCTAATTTTAACATTTTAAAATTCAGATGTGGGGTTGCTGAGATGGCTCAGGAGTTAAGAGCAGTGGCTGTTCTTTCAGAGGACCCAGTTCAGGTTCCAGCACCCACATGGTAGCAGCTCACGACCATCCATACATCCCAGTTCCAGGAGATTTGGTGCTTTCTTCTGACTTCCACATGAATGTGCCACAGACACACAGTTGCGAAAGAAAAAACAAAAAACAAATACGTAAGTAAAATAAATGAATCTTTTTCTTTTCAAGACAGGGTTTCTCTGTGTAGCCCTGGCTGTCCTGGAACTCGCTCTGTTGACCAGGCTGGCCTCAAACTCAAAAATCTGCCACCATCCAGCAAAACAAAGTAATCTTAAAAAATAAAATCTAGACGTAATAATATCCTAAGTTGCCCAATTATATGTGCTTGCTTCCATTTGGATGCTGGGAATTAAACTGAAGTCCTATTTACTAAGCAAGCATTGCTTTACCATTGAGATATGTTACTCGGTGAATTTTACACGCATGTGCACACTTACTTGACCACCAGAAACAAGGTAAAAAAACTTCACTAGCATTCCGGAAGGCTTATTCTTACTTTTTCCCTGATGCTATACTCCTAAGGGTATGACACCCACGAACATAATTGGTAAATTTTTTTTTAAGGGGATCAGGATTTGTAGCTCTGTAGAACACACCACCAAGTGGGTCTGGGAAAAGATGGAAGACTGCTTTTCAACCGAGGCTTTAGGATTCCAGATGGGAAACAGAAACACAGCTGAGCATTTTCCCCGGGGAAGATACCAATGGGAGTTACTGAGTACCAGGCTCAGCACTCCCCAGGGTTCAGAACAGGATGCCTACAGCAAGCAGAGGCTGGCTAGATATCTGGGGGTAAAGAAAGTAAATTAGCTCACATAAGTCTTTTTATCATGTCTCATTTATTCTTCCTATGCTCTCCCCAATCTTCTCTGGATGTTTCCCTTTCGATGTTCCTCCTCGCTGTTCCTCCACCTTGTTCTACCTATCCCACAAGGCTTCCAGTTTATACTCCACAGACATAGTTAACAAACATGCATTTTAAAAATGTTTTTAGTGGCTGGAGAGATGGCTCAGAGGTTAAGAGCACTGACTGCTCTTCCAGAGGTCCTGAGTTCAGTTCCCAGCAATCACATAGTGGCTCACAGCCATCAATAATGAGATCTGGTGTCCTCTTCAGACAAGGAAGGAATGCTGTATACATAATAAATAAATGAATCTTTTTAAAAAATGTTTTTAAGTTTATTTAAAAAAGAGTGTCCTGTCTTTGGTCACACCAGAAGAGGGCACCAGATCTCACTACAGATGGTTGTGAACCCCCATGCGGTTGCTGGGTATTGAACTCAGGACCTTTGGAAGAGCAGCCAGTGCTCTTAACCACTGAGTCACCTCTCTAGCCCCAAACATGCACTTTTTTAGGGCTAACAGGATGGACAAAAGACTGACAAGGTAAGCACCGTGTCTCAGAAGGGGCATGACTGGCTCCCTGGCAGATAGATACCAGAAGGATTAGGATGGAGCTCCCCACCCACCCAGGGGGAGCAAGCATCCCAGTGCTATATGGGTGAGAAGGAATTCCTTCTCTGGAGTTGGTGTAGCAACCAAACCTTTTTCCTGTATATTTCAGGTGTAAAGGTGCAAACAGTTAATTTCCTAGACTAAGACCTTGTGTCAAGTGAAAGGTGAAGGTAAGTACAGAATACTAACAGCCTGTTAGGGTAGAGCAGGGGTTAATCCATTACACCTCCCGAGTCTGCTGCTAGGGAATTCAGGGCCACCCAGACCTGTTTGTCAGTAAGAGCAGACATACTATCTCTCTGCTCAGCGCCTCCTGCTCAGGGCTCCTTTCTTGTCAATAAATCCTGGCAATAAGGATAGTTGTGGGGAACTAGCTTTATGTATATTTGACTGTGAGAACAAAGGTTTGGTTGAGTGAATGTTTTCATGCCAGGGCCCCACAGTGTGGGAGAAGGTATACAGTTGTCAGTTCAGGAAAAGTCAGGTGTGGGTTTTTTTGGTTTTTTGTTTGTTTGTTTGTTTTTTGCTTTTTTTGTTTTTTGTTTGTTTTTTGTTTTGTTTTGTTTTGTTTTGTTTTGTTTTTCAAGACAGGGTTTCTCTGTAGCTTTGGAGCCTGTCCTGGAACTAGCTCTTGTAGACCAGACTGGTCTCGAACTCACAAAGATCCGCCTGCCTCTGTCTCCTGAGTGCTGGGATTAAAGGTGTGTGCCACCACCACCCAGTGGAAAAGTCAGGTTTAAAGAATGCTTTATACAGGGCTGGAGAGATGGCTCAGAGCCTAAGAGCACTGGCTGCTCTTCCAGAGGTCCTGAGTTCAATTCCCAGCAACCACGTAGTGGCTCATAACCATCTGTCATGAGATCTGGTGCCCTCTTCTGGCATGAAAGTGTATGTGCAGGAGGAACATTGTATGCATAATAAATATGTATTTTTTTAAAGAATGCTTTAAACAGTGCTGGGATATTTGGGGATGAATCCCATGATGGAAGGGAGAAATGTCTTGCTATCACAAGATCCCAACAGAATCGACAGTGACTTATCCAAAGCAGTGTTCCCGAAGCTCTGCTGCTTGGGTTCTCCACCGGATCATACTCCTGTGAATCTGCTCACGGACCTATCGCTGTACTTTCACTGTATAATACCTGTGGTTCACATCAAGATACCTCGTTCAAGCTGGAAGACAGCCCTTTTGCCAGTGACTCTAATGCACTAGATCCACCTCGTTGCCTGTTCCCCCAGACATAGCCTCACTAACAGTCTGCATGTTTTGCAAGTTGAAATCGGTTCTAAAGCTGTAAGTCCATCGATGGCTAGTCTTGAACTTCCATCCAAAGGCTATCTTATCTAGCAGGAGGTTTGAACTGTGACTTAAGACAGAACATTTAAAAAAAAAAAGATTTCATTTTCTGTGTCTGAGTTTTTTATTGAGCACACTCATGCATGTATGTATGTATACCATATACTTTTTTGGTGTCCAAGGAAGTCAGAGAAGGACACAGGATTGTCTGGAATTGGAGTTATAGACGGTTGTGAACCACTGTGTGGGTGCTGGGAACCAAACACTTGTCCTTCTGCAAGAAAGTCAAGGGCTCGGGGCCTGGAGAATGGCTCAGAGGTTAAGAGCATTGCCTGCTCTTCCAAGGGTCCTGAGTTCAATTCCCAGCAACCACATGGTGGCTCACAACCATCTGAACTGATATCTGATGCCCTCCTCTGGCCTGCAGACAGACACACAGACAGAATATTGTATACATAATAAATAAATAAATAAATATTTTTTAAAAAAAAAGAAAGTCAAGGGCTCTTAACCTTTGAGCTGTCTCTCCAGCCCGAAAACAAAACCTTCCCTGTGGTCTCACTCTGCTGGTCATATTGGGGAAGTACCCAGAGCCTCATGTCCGTATTCCACTGCTGAGCTACAAGCCCACCCTGAATCAGAGTGCCTTCTTGAGTTTCTATGTAGCCTTGCATTGACAGTGCTGAGCATTTTCTGGTTCATGTCTTCCAGCAAGAAATACATGAAATCTATACAGCTTTGGATTCTGGTTGGTTTGGGTTTCATTGTTGTTTGCTTTTTAATTTTTAAAATTATATTTATTTTTGAGTGGATGTGGTTGTGTGTGACACAGTCTGCAACGTGTGTGGGATCACATGACAACTTATATTTATTTTTGAGTGGGTGTGGTTGTGTGTGACGCAGTGTGCAATGTGTGGGGGTCACAGGACAACTCTGAGGCAGCAGCTCTGTGAGTCCCAGAGGTGAAGCCAGGTGGTCAGGCGTGGCAGCAAGTGCCTTTACCAAGGCAACCATCTTACAGCCTCTGTGCATGTGTGTTGTTGAATGTATATGGTCTTTTGCCTACATGTATGTCTGTGCATCATATGTGTGCAAAGCTTACGGAGACCAGAAGAAGGTGTTGGCTCCCCTGGGACTGGGGTTACTGATGGTTGTGCGCCACCATGTAGGTTCTGAGAATTGAAAACGAGTCTGCTTTAGTGCTGGAGAGATGGCACAGCAGTTAA